GGGGGGCCGGAGCGTCTCCTACTGCACTTGCAAAGATCTCGGACGTGTCGCCGAGGGTCGCCTTGTCAGCCTTTCTCAGCAGTCGCTGCGGAGGCAGAAGGGTATTTTCTTGGCGTTTTCTTGGGTTGCAGTTTTAGTGTGCAACACGACAGAATCTCCCATAAATTATTTTCGAAAGTAAGTAAAATGGGCAAGTGTTATTCCATACATTCAAATATGTCGAGTAGCAACATGAAGACTGCTGTGCTCGTTTAGAAAACACCTTCCATTTCAAAAAATTGTATTCAAAATACACAAAATGTGCCTGATAATTTTTCCCGAAGTGTTGTTTATTGTCAGTGCATCTTCAGCATTCTCAGGAAAATGCTAAGTGCACCAGGCCCTTAACTAAATTTTAACTGGTTTTAGTTTTCCTTGCTCACAAGTTCAGTTCCATACGATTTATAACAGCTCTTGAGACCCCAGTAATAGGTGAAAGTGATTTGTCTTTCATAGATGGCAACCCCCAGCAGGGATGACTAAGCCTTCAGCAAGGTGTAGTTTGGAAATGCTCAAGGGAGTCCATAGTTTTCTTCCATATGGCTGGGTCCAGCTGAGTCTCTTCATCCCCGGGGTCTCCGCTGCACAATCCCTGCAAGAGGCTTACTGACACTTTTTGCCCGTTACCACGAGGACAAATCCTGTTCTCAGGAACACTATTCTATATCCAAGTTAACCTGATGAAGTGAAAGCCAGCAAAGTTACTCCTGACTTCTCTTACTGTAAAATGTAAGCCAAAATGAAAATCACTAAAAACATACATACCTACAAAACACTTATTTTTTTGATCTTTGTTTAGACAATGTCCAGTAAATATGATTGTTGCATTGCTTTCAAATGCTAATAATGGCATCAGGTCTTACAAAGACACAGAGATACTCCCATTTTTTTAGATTGATGCAGGAAGGAGATTTCAGTGACTGTAAGGAGAATACAACAGATTCCATGTATAAGTGCTTTTTACTCTTTTCTCCAGTTTGATTGGTTTAGATCTCTGCAAAGGATTTAGAAAGGAATTTTCAAGTTTCCAGCAAGCAACAGAAGAGGAAAAAACCCAAAACTTAATCTAACATATTGCTTTCATGCTTCTACTGAAATCCTTTATCTTATAACTCCAGTCAGACAAGAACCAGAAAATACAAATGTTAACCATTCAGTATTTTTCATTATTTGTTTCGAGTACCAGCAATGTGCCTAGTGCTACAGAAGACACAAAGAGAAGAAATAATAAATCTTTTTAAGATAGTAATTCTCAGAAAATCTGAATGAATTCTTGAAGCGTTAAACATTGCAGACCTACTCTATGCAAAGCTAATTCAAAATCTGAAGTGGTCTTCATTTAATGTACTTCATTTTCAAAGTGAAGTATACTAAGTACAAGCAAGATCAATTTTTATTCCTATTTGGGGGGTTCATTGATTTTTAACATGCCCACCTTTGAAGCATACCTTTCATTCATTCAGATTGATTTTCCTGAGTGTCTGGCCTGCCAGCACATTGAAACTCTCTCTTTGTGATCTAAACTCTTCAATGGGAGAACTCCCAATGTCTGAAATTGCTGAGGACGAGGCCTTCTGTCAGACATGGTATAGTATCATCACTGAAGTATGAACCTTGCCCCACAGTGTGCCCTCTGGCTGCCTCAGTTGCCTGCAGAATTAATGCTAAGCCACTTACAAAGTTATGAGGGAAAATATTCCCACAGAGGAAGAAACTGAGGGAAAAATATAACAAGAAGATATGTTAAGAGAAAAGCAATTAGAAATGTTCATCAATAAAAGAGCAAAAATTTTGTTACAGCTGCTTCAGAAAATACTAACGACAGCTAAAAGCAGTTTTCTGGTCTCCCGATTTCATTACACAACATTCTGCCATTTGGAGGTAATCTAAAGGGATACTCAAAAAGCTAAGAAGATCAGAACTATTAGCATAAGGAGATCAAAGTCAATAATAATAGGTAACATCTTCAGAACAGGATTCAGAACATCAAAATAGAAAAAGCTGCTACTCACAATTGAGGTTGGTAATAGTGACTATGGCTGAGCACAAAGCTCTGTGCTGTGTAGATACATCTGAGTGAGCGTGTTGAACATGAACGTGACTATAGCTTTATAAGGAAATTATACCTGAAAGATACTGAAGCAAGTGACTCATCAATCTGTAAATAACTGAACATCAATAAGGATTTAGAAAAATGGCCAATAGAGAGCTATATCAAGAAAATACAGTGTAAACCAGCATCCTTCTTTGACAAGGTAACTAGCATCTGGGTGAGGGGAAAGGATGATAGATAGTGATATTAGCATGTCATTTGCTACCATGCACATTCTTCTAAGCAATCTACTTAAATATGGTAAAAATCTAATTGCTGGGACATGGACGCTTAACTGAGTAAAAAAACCCAAATCTTATATTCGGAGTATAGTTGATGGTCAGTCTGGGAGTGTACAGAAAGTAGACTCTTTAAAATAGCTGTTAAGGCTATTATGCCACTGAATTATTCCAATGGTGGTTGAAAATTAAGAATAACTATTAACAGATTATACCAGAATGGAAAGGGATTTAAGGAGTTTGCAAGGCAGAATGACAGTTCAAAATTATTTTGATAAACTGGAGAAAACACATGGAATTCGTAAATCTTAAGAAAGACATGAACATAACATTGCATTCAGAAAAGAAATACAAATGCACAAATGCAAAATGACTAGCTGAGCAGCAGCACTCCAGAGAAGGATATGGAGATGAAAATGTATTGTCTTAAATTTATGATAAAGGAGATTCCATTACAAAAAGGCAAACATCATTCTGATGAGGTATATATTACATAACCAATTCATAAAGCTTCCTAAAAGCTTTGTTCAGGTTTTATGGGTAGGATAAAGTGTTCAATTTTGGACACCATTCCTAAAATATACTGCAAATGAAACAGATTCTGGGGGACAAAACTAAGAATATAAATTTTAATGAATATGAACTATGAAAAAAGTTCTTAAAAGTGCATTTACCTGGTTTAAAAACAAACAAATAAACAAACCCACCCCAAAAAAAACAACACAGAAAAAGGGAAGATGTTATAATACTTGCCAAAATTAAAACACATTTGTAAGTGGCACATGGTCAGTTAATATTCACAACCAGTGAAGGGCTTAATTTTCAGGAATGGTTCAGAAAAGCTAGTGGTAAAGAAGGCTGTGAAACCTAAGAGACAACTGGTCTTTGTTTCATCCCCCCCAAGACAGATTTTTACTGGAAATTTTAAAACAGATTAAACACATCGGAATTACCTAGATGTACTACATACAGTGTCTGAGTAGAGACATTAGCTAATTGGCCTTTCAGGTTCTTTTTAGCTAGGATTTTCCATGGACATAAAATAACTAGCCTTCTAGCAGTAATATTCGTTGTCAAAGAGGACATCTGACTGTGTGTATTAGCTGTGTATTATTTATTATCACATATTTGTAATTCAGGATCATCTAGTGCTTCCAGTCAGAATTGCGCTTGAAAGTGGACTAGTACAACAAAAATATGATCACAGCCCCCTGGCTTTTCCTTTTTAAGTAGACATGATGTGTGAAAGGTAGAGGGAAAGTAATATTTTTTTTTTTTTAAATGATAACTAAGTCCCTTTGTCAATCAAGGTATTGTGAAATTCTTTAGCTATTTACTTGTAAGCAAGCATAGCTACTGTGGACAAGCAATGCAAAGACAATTCAGATCAGAACAGAGGAGGAAGATTGTGCCATGATCAGTGCAAAAGAAGTCAAGAGGAGAACCTGAGCAACAAGCTAACATCATATACATGATAAAAAAGTGATGGGGAAATTAAAAAAAAAAAAAATCATGTAGGAAAGAAGAAAGATGCTGGAGAAAAATAGAGACATACAGTGAGAACAAAAGGCATGAACTTGCAACAGAAGAATAGGGAAGCCATGTATTGCATTGCTGAGTAAGTGTGAAAAAAAGACTTTTCTGTAACAATCTATTACAACACAGACACAAAGGAAGAGGTGTAATCCACTGAAATCTATGGTTAAATATTATTTTAAAAATACTCTGGTTTTAATCCACCCAAACTTTTACTACTTATGACAATCTCTTTGGATGAATCTGAGCCTGTATTTTCTGAGCTATAACTGCTTTGGTATTTCACAGTGGACTAAAACCTAAAGAGCACCTTGGAAATCATAAAGATATTCACAATATTTTAGCTCCAAAAAGATTTTATTTAGTTGCTAGCTATCTTCTCTAGTTGTTAGCTAGCCAACTTTAGAACAGGTCTGAAATGCCTCCAAATTAAATATAAGATAAAAGCAAATTCTAGCTGGCAGGAAGGGGGTATAGGACCATGTCTGTGTTTGTACAACTTCTCCAAGGGAGTTAAGGATCAAACTTCTTGACTTCTCTGAAAAAACACCCATAATAAACATTACAGCTGGTAGTAAATATTTCAGAAATGTATCCTTAATCTAAAGCTGAGTGACCTGAACTTTATCCAATATCAAAGGGACACTATCAAATTTTTAAGGTCACAGATTTCACACATGTAAAACCTTTAGGCTCCCATGGAGCTATCTAGAGTCTCACAATGCTTTACCGTAAAGTATGATTGGAAATTTATTTGAAAAATTTCCTGGGTTTTAGGAGCCGAAAATGAAAACCTTGAATCACTCCATTATCATTCTAATGGAATAGAGTGGATTTATTCCAGTTTCTCAAATAAGTAGAACTTCAGGTACTCCATGCAGATCTGTTTTATAGCAAGATTCTCATTTGAATTTACCCCTTTATGAAAAATATTTACAAAACCTCATGCATGGATCTAGAAAAATCTGGCAAGGGAGGAAATGGAAGT